AATTACAGACTTGCAAAATCCTCTGAGAATTGCTGAGTCTTTTGTAACACTTTTGTGACACCAGGGTGTCATAACCTTGTCTATGAAGTGCCAGGAGCACTTTCCAAAGATAGGGGGAGGGGTTGGGGTGGGGAGAATGATGTAGTTTCTATTCGAACTATCCTGAGAGCTCTGCATGTTTAGTCAAACTCCTAGTCTTTACTAGTGAGTGCCTTCTCCTCAAAGCCATACGATGCGTGACAAATCTTTATAAAGTTTATTCTCAGTATTCAGTCCCGGTTGAACGTTCCCTTGAAGACCAACTTATCTTACTTTGTCCCCTGGGCCTCCTCCAAGCCCAGCCGGGGCTCCTTGCTTCTGTCTCTGGGCTCAGAGCCCTTTCTCTTTGAGCCCGAAGACGTCCACCCTGCTCCGGCCCCGGGGCCCTCCCGTTCTCTGGCAGCGCCCGTGACGCAGCCTTGACTGGGCGCTCTCATTCCTCGTGTCTGTCGTTTTTCACCCTGGGTCTTCTCTCCTGCTCTTTCCTTCTTCTTTAGACTCAGCTCCCCCATCAGACTCCAGCAGACTCCACCCCCGCTCGGCCCACCCGTCTCAGCTCAGGGGTCTCTGACCGCCAGTGTCCGGGGGTCAGGACACACGTAACCAGGAGGAGCCCTAAGAGCAGCAGGGCTGAGCTCAGGAACCGTCTCTGCGGTTTAGACACACAGGCCTCCCCTTCCCCCAGCTCGTGTCTCCATCCCTGTGCTTCCGGGACCCTGTGGTGGGCGGGTCTTCCTGTGAGTGAGTGACGTGCTGGGACTGCAGACTCCGACCAAGCTCAGTACCGAGTGCGGGATGAGGAGAGAATTGGCCGCTCACACACGCGTGCTTTCTCCTAGCCTGGTGGGAAAGCAAAACGGTGAGCTGCTGGGGAAGGCAGTCTGGCAGTTCTTCTAAATCAATCATAGAGTAAAAATCGACCAATCAATCAATCCAACATAGACTTACCATTGACTCAGAAATTCCACTCTTAGGTTAATGCCTAAGAAATATGTCCACAGTGAAATTTCTACATAAGAGTTCATGTTGGCATTATTCACCATAGTACACAAAACCCAAATGTATATCTACACATGAATGGATTTTTTTAAGTGATATTTCATATGACAGATAGTGACGTGCTGGGACTGCAGACTCCGACCAAGCTCAGTACCGAGTGCGGGGTGAGGAGAGAATTGGCCGCTCACACACGCGTGCTTTCTCCTAGCCTGGTGGGAAAGCAAAACGGTGAGCTGCTGGGGAAGGCAGTCTGGTAGTTCTTCTAAATCAATCATAGAGTAAAAATCGACCAATCAATCAATCCAACATAGACTTACCATTGACCCAGAAATTCCACTCTTAGGTTAATGCCTAAGAAATATGTCCACAGTGAAATTTCTACATGAGAGTTCATGTTGGCATTATTCACCATAGTACACAAAACCCAAATGTATATCTACACATGAATGGATTTTTTTAAGTGATATTTCATATGACAGAGCATAATATAGTCATATAAAGTAATGATGCACCATTTATTCAACATTGTGGATGAAACTTGAGAATATTATGCTGAGTGAAAGAAGCCTGATTAAAAGAAGCCACATACTGTGCAATTCCATCTATACAAAATGCTCTAAATAAACAAACCCATGGAGACAAGAAGCAGATCAGTGGCTTCCAAAGAGGGGAAGGAAGAATAGTGGAGGGAGCTTCTTGGGGAGTAATGAAATTATTCTGGAACAGATCATGGTCGTGGTTGCATAACCCTATCCGTGGGCCAAAAGCCAATGACTTTTACAGTTTTAAAAGATGAAATCTACACTACAGGCTGGAGAAGGCACTGGCACCCCACTCCAGTGCTCTTGCCTGGAAAATTGCATGGACAGAGGAGCCTGGTGGGCTGCAGTCCATCAGGTCGCTACGAGTCGGACGGGACTGAGCGACTTCATTTTCATTTTTCACTTTCACACATTGGAGAAGGAAATGGCAACCCACTCCAGTGTTCTTGCCTTGAGAATCCTAGGGACGGGGGAGCCTAGTGGGCTGCCGTCTATGGGGTCGCACAGGGTCGGACATGACTGAAGTGACTTAGCAACAGCACACTACAGACATTTCCTGAGATCTATAGGGGATTGATTCAAGGATACCTCAAGGATATAGAAATACTCAAATACCTTCTATGAAATGACATATAACCTACATACATTCTCCTTTATACTTTAAATCCCCTTTTGATTTCTTATACTACCTAATACAGTGTAAAGGCTATTTGAAGGGTAGTAAATACAGTGGGAAGTAGTTCCTGGTGTGGGGCAAATTCAAGGACTGTTTTTTGGAACTTTTCAGAATTTTTTCCAAATATTTTCAATCTGCTTGATTGAGTCTACAGGTGCAAAACCCCTGGGTTTGGAGGGCTGACTGTATGTGAGTTGTGACTCGGTTGGAAAGTCAGTCCACAGTACAAACACTCCACACACTTTCAAAGGGGAAATATTGGACAAAATGCCATGGAAATGCAACCCTTCCACTGACAGCCATGCCTTCAGGAACAGTGTACTCTGGAGAAAAACACGTTCTTTTGTCCACCTTTATTCCCTTCCCACGGTGACTCATTTCTGCTAAACCCCAGCTGGATAGAGCAGTCTGGGGGAATGCTGAGTAAGCACGGTTTGACCTTCTCTGTAAGCCACATCCCCAGAGCAAACTGCTCCAATCCCATTCCCTACTCACTGTGATGGCGCTCTGGGTGGAGCCCAGCCTTCCCTTGAGTGACTGTGGGTCCCACAGAGAAGAATATGGAGACCCGTTCCCACCCCTTCAGATTTTGTGGGATGACATGATATCTCTTGAGAGGGCAGAAAAACAGGTTCTGTTCATCTTGACACAAGGAGATAGGTCAGTAAAATCCCAGAGCCTGTCTACACACTTCCCTGTGCGAGTGAGTACACACGCAGCCTCCTTGAACCAGCTACGTGCCTGGGGAAGTCACCTGAGAAATTCACTGCCTTATATACCTGGGCTTCTGTTCTGCTGCTGTGTGCCTTGTTTCTGTCACTTGTGAAACGGGGAACACAGAGGCACCATCCTGGAAAAGGTGGCAAAGAGGAAAATGGGTCAATACATACTCCCTCCATAAAAGTCATATTTTCTTGGGCTCCAAAATCACTGCACATGGTGACTGCAGCCATGAAATTAAAAGATGCTTGCTTCTTGAAAGAAAGCTATGACAAACCTAGACAGTGTATTAAAAAGCAGAGAAACCACTTTGCCAACTAGTGATAAAAGTCCGTCTAGTCAAAGCTGTGGTTTTTCCAGTAGTCATGTATGGATGTGAGAGTTGGATCATAAAGAAAGCTGAGCGTCGAAGAATCAATGCTTTCAAACTTTGGCGCTGGAGAAGACTCTCGAGAGTCCCTTGGACAGCAAGGTGATCAAACCAGTCAATCCTAAAGGAAATCAACCCAGAATATTCATTGGAAGGACTGATGCTGAAGCTGAAGCTCCAATACTTAGACCACCTGATGCGAAGAGCTGACTCACTGGAAAAGACCCTGATGCTGGGAAAGATTGAGGGCAAAAGGAGAAGAGAATGTCAGAGGATTAGATGGTTAGATAGCATCGTCGACTCAATGAACATGAATTTGAGCAAACTCTGGGAGTTAGTGAAGGACAAAGAAGCCTGGTGTGCTGCAGTCCAAAGGGTCGCAAAGGGTCAGACCCGCTTGAGCAAATGAACAACACCAACAGTATAAGTCTGCAGTTTTTAATATTGCTCTGTTATGAGAATGCAGCACCCTTGAGGAGAAGACAGCTCCAGTGACAAGATCGAACCGTAGTGTTCAAAGAACAATTTTTATCTTTTTTTTTTAAACCAGCGTTTGATTCTATTGTCCTGACCATGAATCAGAAGCTGGTTTGCTACAGTGCAAGCTGATGGAGAAAAGTGATTCTGGAGCTCAAACAATTTATTTTTCTGATACATCTTTTTGTAAAAATCAGAAAACTGCCCCCCAAATGCCCCCTGTTTATCCATTTTTCTCCTCACTGAGAGCAAGTGACTGCAGAGAGACAAGCTTCTCTCTGACCTTCGAACATGGGGACCCTCGGGACAGGCTGCCAGGCGGGTGGTGGGGGCGGGAGTGGAGATCACGAGGCCAAGGTCCTGCCTTTAGGGGAGGGCGAGGAACACCTGTTCTCCAGGCTTCCCAGGTGGCGTTAGCGGTAAAGAACCCGCCTGCCAGTGCAGGTAGAAGTAAAAGGCCTGGGTTCGATCCCTGGGTCGGGAAGATCCCCTGGAGGACGACATGGCAACTCACTCCAGTATTCTTGCCTGGAGAATCCCATGGACAGAGGAGCCTGGTGGGCTACAGTCCCTGGCGTCGCAGAGTCAGACACGACTGAAGTGAGTTAGCACGCATGCACCCATTCTCCACCTACTGCTTCTAAGACACTTCGCCAGAATCTCTCAAGCTGAGAGTCTGAAACATTTTCCTGGTGATACAGAATAATTGTTAAGGAAATGGTGGTCAGGCTAGACAAACTTCTTTCAGAATATAGATTAGAAAATGTAATTTTCTAATTGTACTTTTTTAATTACTAGAATTGTACTAGAAGTGGCCTTGAAGGCAACTCAATGTGTAAGAGAAGAAAGACTTTTTAAGGGTTCTCATTGGGAATAGTAGCTTAGGGAACATGAAGAAGTTGGAATTTAACTTTATTCTTGCTGGTCTTAGAAAGACATGTACATGCATGTCATATGAGCTAATGACTGCATGTCATAATTTCTTCCACAAAAGAAAAGGACATACAGGAAAAGAACAATAACTTTGTCTTTACCCATAGAAACTTCATGCTCATGAAAGTGATGGATAGCCTGCTGAAGAAACCGAAAGTTGATTTACTTGAAATACCAGCTTCTGTGAAAAAAGGGAGCAATTGAGAGAGGCATATATTGAGGAGCTGAGCGCTCACAGCACAGGCTTACAGACCGCCCACCCACCTCTGCTCACTCCAGGAACGCAGGTAAGTGCTTCCAGCAGCTCTGCTGAGCTACATGAATCTTTTCTGAAAATAACAACAATGATGTGTTATTTATCTATACAATTGTACATCATTTATCTGTTTCATTTTGTGTGATTGTATTTTATTATTTAGCCAGGGCAAAAGTAAAACAATTTTTCATCTGCTTTAACCTTTAGGTAATTTATTTATTTCCAAAACACAAACACTTCCTTAGGAGGAAGTGTGATGAGGGGTAGGAGGTGCAGCACACACAAATCCTTCAAGGAAAATGCAGGGCTTCCCTGGTGGTCCAGTGGATGAGAATCCGCCTGCCAGTGCAGGGGACCCGGGCTCCATCCCCACTCCGGGAATATCCCACATGCCGAGCGGCAACTAAGCTCGGGCACCACAGCTAAGGAGCCGGAACTCTGGAGCCCGAGCTCCACGACAGGAGACACGCCGCAGAGAGAAGCCGTGCATCTCACCTAGAGAAGAGCCCCGTTCTCCAAAAATCAAGAGAAAGCCTGCTTACCGCAACAAAGACCCAGGGCAGCCAGTTGGTTTTTTTTTTTTCTTAAATTAAAAAATGGCAGAGAGGTGCCTCATGATAGATGGCTGGATGTTATCACATCAATCTTTGCTTTGGTATCTGTTATAAGGTCTTCTCTACCCAGTCTTAGTACAGCAGGTAAGGAAGAAAAGATACAGATATTCTATTAGTTTTTACAAAAGTTTTTTATAGTCTTCTAAGTATGAAGTATATACATTGAAAACAACTTTAAAAGTAAAAGGAAAGAAGCTATAGTTCCAGGTGGCACAGAGCTAAAGAATGCACCTGCCAATGTGAGGGGCATGAATTTGACCCCTGGGTCAGGAAGATGCCCCGGGGAAGGAAATGGCAACCTACTCCGGTACTCTTGCCTGGAGAATGCCATGCACAGAGGAGCCCACCAGGCTGCAGTCCGCGGGGCTGCAGAGTGGGACACGACGGAAGCGCTGAGTACGCACACACAGAGTTGGCAGAACCCGACAACCCACATACAGGACATTTCTTTTAAGAAAAGTTTATAATAGACTAACAAACTTCCCTTCACTAGAGTGATTATAAAATGCATCCAGTGCTCTTCCAGGACTTCCAGACCACATCCGGCCACCATGAGTTCCCTCGGTGAAGCAATCATCCACCTTGCAATCGATCTGTTCCACCAGATCAGAAAATCAGAGAAGGAAAACATCTTCCTGTCCCCTTTCAGTATCTCGTCAGCCTTAGCCATGACTTACTTAGGGGCCCGAGAAAACACCGCATCAGAAATGCAGAAGGTAGGTGGCAGCTGCCTCTCCGTCACAGGTTTGCATGGTTTGTCTGCTGGCTGGAGTGCAGATGACCACAGGTCTGGCTGTCCCCGGGGGTCCCACGGGAAGCTCAAGCAGCCCCACGACTGGGTGGGCACAGAGAAGGGCACACACTCTCCCGCAGGGCTCCCCACCGCCTTCCTGTGCCTGGACTTCCTCTGGGGGCTGGGATGACCCCCTACAATTGCCCAACAGCCAGAGGTGAGGCTTTAATGAAAGAAATGAGGCACTGACTAATACCCATGTTTTTAGTGTTTTTTTTAACACGTTTCCTCAACAATGATTACAAAATAGACCAGGATTCTTTGAAGTGACTTGTTATAAAGTAGTTTTGCGCATTGTGCACGCAGTTTGTGTTTCCTAAGGAGCAGATGCTTGCATTGAACATTTCTTTGATTCGCTTTGGGTTTTTCCTTGGGGTTTTTTTTTTTGGTTTTGTTGTTGTTGTTGCTTAGCAATTTGTTTTGCTTGTTTGGATTCATTCTTTCCTTCCTTCTTTATTTCTTTTTTTATTTACCCTGAGTACGTAGGTTTCTAAAGTTTCCTTGTCCCACTCCCTGTCTCCTCCAGGTCCTTCACTTCAGTGAAATCACAGCCAACACAAAAGGAGGGGCCACAAAAGATCCCGTGAGTCACACAGCACTGGATCTAGAAGGAGGTCATATACCCAAGAGGGCTATTGGTTAAACTGGGAATTTCAGATAAGCTGGGAAAAGTCAATTTTTAGAGGACATCCTAGGCTAAAATGCTCTCCTGTTGGCTCAGCGGGCAAAGAACCCACTTGCCATGAAGGAGACACGAGTTTGGGTTGGGAAGGTCCCCTGCAGAAAGAGATGGCAACCCACTCCAGTGTACTTGCTTGGGAAACCCCGTGGAGAGAGGAGCCTGGTGGGCTACAATCCGTGGGGTTGCAAAGAGTCAGACATGACTGAGCACACGTGCATGGGGCACCTGGCAGAACAGACCGAGCAGAGTCATTCCTGACGTCACATTGCATATCAGATGCTTGGTTTCTGCAGAGAAGCCTGTGTTTCGGAGCAGAGGGTCTAAGGAGCTTCATGTTGAAGGGCTCCTTTTGTGTGCTGACCATGCCGTCTGCACGATCTTAGTTCCCCAACCAGGGACTGAGACAAGCACTGGCTCTGTCTCCTTGGAGAAGTCGCTTAGTTCTCTGAACTCTCTTGTTTTCATGTGAACTGAACTAAAGACTTAGAGATGCTGGTGTACACCTGCTAGCAGTGTACCGGGCACACACTCTTCCTACACCGGCAAGTGTGACCACCATGTGTGATCACAGTGGACAGCCACAGAGCACAGTCAACCGGTCTTAGAAGATAATCTCACCAAGGCGTATAACAGGACTTCATGTCATAATCTACGACAATACACAAATTGCATGTTCTCATACAGTTGATGACTCTTAAAGATGCAATACGATGCATTAGGCCTCAAGAAGCTCAAGTTTAACTGATCCCTAAACATTCAAGGGGCTTAAGTGGTGGCTCAGATGGTAAAGAATTTGCCCACAATGCGAGAGACCTGGGTTTGATCCTGGGTCAGAAAGATCTCCTGGAGAAGGGAATGCTACCCACTCCAGTATTCTTGCCTGGGAAATCCCATGGACAGAAGAACTTGGCAAGCTGCAGTCCACAGCGTCACAAAATGTCAGCAATGACTGGTGACTAACACACACACACACACACATTTAAGACAGTGAAGACACAAGGCAAGGGTGGAATGGTGCTGCACGTATTGTTCAAAAGAGGAAAGATTGGAGTCTATTGGAGAAGGAAGAAAGAATTACCTGAAAGATTGAATGTAAGTTTATGAAGTATATTTCCAGTAAAATACACCAAATACGAGGAAAGAACAACAGTCATCCACAGAAATACCAAAATCTAGGTACTGATCAAGCAGACTTATGTGGGTGCAGTACTTATAGTGTTAGAGAATCCAGTGTGCTCACTTTTTGATGTTTGAAGGTTGAAAAGCCAGGAAATGTTCATCATCACTTTCAAAAGCTTCTGATGGAATTAAAGAAATCCACTGATGCCTATGAGCTGAGTGTCGCCAACAGGCTCTATGGAAGAAAAGATTTTCCATTTCTCCAGGTGAGTTTCCTGGTCTGTCACACCTTTAGTCTGCATCCTGGGTCCTCGGGCCCCATCTCCTAATGGGGTGGGGGGGGGCAGGCAGAGGAGCCTGGGGACCCACACGAGGCATTTCTCCCAGGGGCACCAGGCTCCCCAACCACAACCCCACCCACTGGAGTGTCCCAGAGGCTGATAGCACACCAGTCGGAGGTGGGGGGCGGGGGGCGCCTAGGCATTGGCCTATGAACTCTGCTTGATCAGGATTGAACACATTTAATTTAATTTGGGAATACCTACACAGTTACTGACAAATAATTCTTCATTCTTCCTTTCTTCCTGCTCATGTCATAGGAATACATGGATAATGTTCAAAAATACTACCTGGCCAGCGTGGAATCTGCCGATTTTGTCAGTGCTGCAGAGGAAAGTCGAAAGATGATTAACTCCTGGGTGGAGAGCCAAACCAATGGTAGGTTATGAGAGAGTCACGGCTGAGTCCCCGCTGTGTGTGAACACAGTGCTGGACCCTGACGGGGCTGCCGGGAGCGGGGTGAGACGAGATCGCAGAGGGTGGGGGGGCCTGCAGGGGGTGGATGGTCCACGTCAGTGAGGAGAGAAGCGGGTGGGGGGCTCCCAGGACCAGCCCCCTGCAGGCATAGCTGAGTCATGACAGTGACTGTGGATCCCAAGTCTCTGCTCAAACATCAGGTTAATTCATAAATTTTTCTTTCAAATAGAGGCTTAACTTCTGGATTATGATCCATAAGAGAAAATATGAAAAGAGTTCCCTTTTGCTTTCTTAACTGGGAAACAAGCCTCTCTCCTTTAAACCACTCATCTTGCCAAAATGACCACCTGCAGCAGGAGATGTCTGGCCCACGTCCCCCTCCCACAGGATGTCACAGATGTCCTCCCCACCGGGGGAGGGGGCTGGACAACGTCTCCAGACCATGAGCCTTATCCTACCTCCCTTCCGAAATACAGATCTAACCTATAGCAACTCAGAGTTGAGAATGAAGACAAATACACCCCAGGGAATGGTGTCTGGGTACGTGTTCTAGATTTTAGTGTTCATATCATTTGTCCTAAAGAACATTCAGGCCCATTTCCTCTGATTGCTAATTTCAAATCTGAAAATAGCAATCGAAGAATAAAGTGAGGAAGAACAGAAGAATAGAAGGAAGGATTGAGTAGACAAGAGATAAAGCTATTGAGCAAACAGGAAGGGAGGAAAGAAAACTGACCAGTAAAATCAACTGAAATCAGTTCATCAGGATTCCTTGTGAGATGACTGATGTCCCCACACACACAGACTGAACACCTTCCCAGTCAGAAGCAGGGGCATCTCCATGAGGACAACTCCATCAGGCTGGGGCCATAAGCAAAGACTCACCTGGTGAACCGCTGGGCATAGAGTCCCTCGAGGGGTGATTTGTATGAATATTTAATCATCACTTGTAACTTTCAGAGCATCTTAGAGACAAACCGCTTGTGCCTTTCCTAACTGATAATTTGTCTTTGCAGGAAGAATCAAGGATCTGTTTTCCCAAAACTCTCTCAGTGGCTCTGTTCTGGTTCTGGTGAACGCCATCTATTTCAAAGGGCAGTGGCAAGAGGAATTTAAGAAAGAAAATACTGTGGAGGAAAAATTTTGGCTGAACAAGGTATTGTCTATAAGTTATGCATATAACATAATGTAACTACATATGCACTGTGAAATGTAAATACATATTGATTAATATATAACTGCAGGTAGAAGATAGAATTCGTCAAGGCTTATTTTTTGTCTTTTTTTTTTTTAACTTTATTTAGTTGGGATCCCCTGAAGGAATTCTTATCTCTAATTCACAAAATTTCCAGATCATCTCTTAGAAGGAGGATATGTTTGGTATCTGAACAAGATTATCTTTCTTTATGACTTATGCCCATTTAGCACTTTTTGCCACATGAATTTATTACAGGATACAAGCAAACCTGTGCAGATGATGAAACAAACCAATCATTTCAATTTCGTGTCACTGGAGGATGTGCAAGCCAAGATCCTGGAAATACCGTACAAAGGCGAAGAACTAAGCATGATGGTGCTGCTGCCCAATGAAGTAGATGGTCTGCAGGAGGTAAAACCTGGTATTTATAGTGCTTCATGCTATTGCTTAAATTCTTAGTAATTCAGTGCTTGTCTGGCCTGCTCATAGTATGATGAGTTTTTAATTTGGAAGTATTTGGTTTCTAAGTACTCAAAACTCATTCACAGTCTCATTTCTAGAAGTTCAAAGGTGGGAGGAGGGGGAATTATACGATTTTCTTCTTAGCATTGCTATCATAAAGCTATCATATAAAACCACCAGTAAGACCATCATAAAAGGACATCCCATGAAAGACCACCTATAAATACTGTAACAGCCAATAATGATGCAAACGAGGCAGTAAATTTGCCACACTCAAAATACATACATAGTAACACTGGAAATCAAAACTTCATAGAGAAATTAATATCACAGTCAGTGTGATGAGTCCTCAGAATACTTGCCCCCTGCTCCAAATTCCCCATTATCAGTGACATTGGGAATATCTGTTCTAGGATTTTGTCCTATAGCAACAAGTTAAAACAACGGAAAAGTTGTTGGACATAAGTGACTCAAAATAATGAAAAATTTTAAATAAGAAACAATGGTATGTATTTGTATTACCTTATCTTCATTTGAAACTGACATGCAGTGAATGCTTAAAAGATATTACTTAAATAAATAAAGATGTATACTAAGTATCAATTTAATGACAGTATTATGTAGCAACACAAACTTGATTAAAGAAATATTTATTGAAAAATTTTACAAGTAGATCAAGCAAGAAAAAGGAATAAAATTAGGATGTAAGCTGTAAATGCACTATGTAAAATATTTTGGACAAAAGAAATTAACAAGAGAAGTCTACTGAAAGCAAGCATGCCATAGATAAACAGCATAAGCAATGGACAATTCATCTTCTGCAGATAATTTTATTTAACCATCCTGTTGCATATATATGTGCATATATACACATTTGTATCTTTATGTGCATCGCTGTGCTGTTCTTAGTCGCTCAGCCATGTCCGACTCCTTGCGACCTCACAGACTGTAGCCCAGCAGGCTCCTCTGTCCATAGGATCCTTTGAGCAAGAATACAGGAGTAGGTAGTCTATCCCTTCTCAAGGGAATCTTCCTGACCCGGGAATCGAATGAGGGTCCTCTGCCTGGCAGGTGGATTCTTTACCAGCTGAGCTACCAGGGAAGCCCTGTGTATTTATACATATGGGTGCATTATGAGTACATAAATAAAGGGGCTTCCCTGGGAGCTCAGACAGTAAAGAATCCACCTGCAATGTTTGAGACATGGGTTCGATCCCTGTGTTGGGAAGATACCCTGGAGAAGGAAATGGCAACCCACTCGAGTATTCTTGCCTGGAGAATCCCGAGGACAGAGGAGCCTGGTAAGCTATAGTCCATGCAGTCTCAAAGAGTTGGACACAACTGAGCAACTAAGCATGCAAACATGCATGTACATAAAAATGGCAAAGTCATAAGTATATCAGTTCAGTTCAGTTACTCAGTCATGTCCGACTCTGTGCGACCCCATGAACCGTGCCACGCCAGGCCTCCCTGTCCATCACCAACTCCAGCAGTTTATCCAAGCTCATGTCCCTTGAGTCAGTGATGCCATTCAACCATCTCATCCTCTGTTATCCCCTTCTCCTCCTGCCCTCAATCTTTCCCAGCATCAGGGCCTTTACAAATGAGTCAGCTCTTCGCATCAAGTAGTCAAAGTATTGGAGTTTCAGCTTCAACATCAGTCCTTCCAATGAACACCCAGGACTGATCTCCTTTAGAATGGACTGGTTGAATCTCCTTGCCTTCCAAGCGACTCTCAAGAGTCTTCTCCAACACCACAGTTCAAAAGCATCAATTCTTCAGTGCTCAACATTTTTTATAGTCCAACTCTCACATCCATACATGACTACTGGAAAACAATAGCCTTGACTAGATGGACCTTTGTTGACAAAGTAATATCTCTGCTTTTTAATATGCCGTCTGCTGCTGCTAAGTCGCTTCAGTTTGACTCTGTGCGACCCCATAGACAGCAGCCCACCAGGCTCCCCCATCCCTGGGATTCTCCAGGCAAGAATACTGGAGTAGGTTGCCATTTCCTTCTCCAGTGCATAAAAGTGAAAAGTGAAAGGGAAGTCGCTCAGTCGTTTCCGACTCAGCGACCCCATGGTCTGCAGCCTACCAGGCTCTTCTGTCCATGGGATTTTCCAGGCAACAGTACTGGAGTGGGGTGCCATTGCCTTCTCCAAATATGCTGTCTAGGTTGGTCATAATTTTCCTTCCAAGGAGTAAGTGTCTTTTAATTTCACGGCTGTAATCACCATCTGCAGTGATTTTGGAGCCCAAAAAAATAAAGTCAGTCACTATTTCCACTGTTTCCCCATCTATTTGCCATGAAGTGATGGGACTGGATACCATGATCTTAGTTTTCTGAATGTTGAGCTTTAAGCCAACTTTTTCACTCTCCTCTTTCACTTTCATCAAGAGGCTCTTTAGTTCTTCTTCACTTTCTGCCATAAGGGTGGTGTCATCTGTATATCTAAGCTTATTTGTTTTTCTCCCGGCAATCTTGATTCCAGCTTAGCTTCTTCAAGCCCAGCATTTCTCATGAAGTTCTCTGCATATGTTACATAAGCAGGTGACAGTATACAGCCTTGACAAACCCCTTTTCCTATTTGGAACCAGTCTGTTGTTCCATGTCTAGTTCTAACTGTTGCTTCCTGACCTGCATACAGGTTTCTCAAGAGGCAGGTCGGGTGATCTGGTATTCCCATCTCTTAAGAAGACTTATTTGATTATATAATATATATCAAGGACTCTATTATTTTTGCCTCCTAGGATAAAACCTAATAACCTGAATCTCCTAAATTCATGTCTACTGTGAAAATAATTGTTTTCCAGACATTTCAATCCGCTAGGCGGGCTCCATGACCACTGAGAATCCTGATAGTTGTTCCTTTTTCCACTGTTACAGGTTGAAGACCAGCTCTCTGCTGAGAAGTTAATAGAGTGGACGAGCCCACAGAATATGGGGAAGAGACAAGTGGATTTATACCTGCCTCAGTTTAAAGTGGAAGAGAGATATGACCTCATACCCACACTGAAAGCCCTGGGGATGGTGGACGCCTTCAATGGCGTGGTCGCCGACTTCTCGGGCATGACTGGGAGACGTGATCTGGTGGTGTCGACGGTCGTCCACAAGTCCTTTGTGGAGGTGACCGAGGAGGGCACAGAGGCTGCGGCTGCTACCGGTGTAAGCCACATTCGTATCACATCATTACCATTTCATGAGAGTTTCCGCTGCGATCACCCTTTCCTGTTCCTCATCAAGCACATCAAGACCAACAGCATCCTCTTCTGTGGCCGAGTCTCTTCCCCTTAGACGTCCTTGGCCAGCGGTCACACTCGGGGACATTCCGAGAGCTGTTCCCAGAGCTTGAATGCTGGTGTAACAATCTCCCTTGGATTTATTTTCCTTTGCAAACTTATAGTCACCACTGAGAATGTATTGGATAAAATATTATGTTTGTCTGTCTCTCTCTTTCTACAAACACATGTAACCTACTTTACTCCCCATAAAAATTCCTCCTTGGACAAAATGTTCACTATATTTTAAAAACTTATTTCCATACTCTATCTTCTTCTAACTTTGAAATATCATAGCTCCTACTTCAAAAGTTATATTTACTTTTCAAACCTAGACATTCACATTTATTTGAGTTCAGGTGGTATGTGGGACCCTTACATGTCTAAATTTTTTAATTGTCTGAAATGCATTATCAATAAAACCATGGCTTGTTCATGTCGTTTCTTGCTCATCCTTTTTTTTCTTTTCAACAAAGTGCAAGTGACCCACCACACATAGAAAAGATCATATAGAAAGATACTATCACATATAGAAAATCAAGAGTATGGCATGATGAGGTTAAAAGGGTAGACTGTTATCAGAACATGAAAGACTTTGTAACCCATGTTGAGAGGTTAAATATAAGCATCTAGAACTCAGACTTGGGATATGAACTGAATCTCTAAATAGATAAGACAGATGATATAAATTTCAGAGTTACTGAGAGAAATATGGTAGTTGTAGCTGAAGGCAAAGATGGGGTAAGACTAGGAGAGCATATAGTGAGAAGAAGGGCTGCCACATGACCCTGAAGTCCACCAATCCATAAATGTTAAGAACTGACAAATTTTGTTTCCTAAAACATAACTTTTCTCAGGGCAAGAGGAATCATTTGGAGGTGATATGTTTATTACATAGATTGGCATGATGGTTTCATGGATATATACTCACCTCAAAACTCATGACGTTCATACATTAAATATGTACAGCTCTTTATACATCATTCGTACATGAAGAAAGTTATTTTTGAACATAAAGTAATAAAATCAATATGTGATTGTAAACATAAAGATAATAGATGCTTAATAAAGAATATAATGCATATACACCACAAGACAGGCTTCCCTGGTGGTGCACTGGTAAGGAATCTGACTGCCAAGCAGGAGACCTCAGTTCAAAAATGAGTTGGACATGATGTAGTGACTAAATAACACTACACCACAGGATACCAACTTGTTCCCATTGGCTTGGAGACAGCTAAAATTAAAAGACTGGTCAAACCCTGTGTGGAGAAAACATGGATCAACCGGAACTCTCCCACACCACTGGTAGGGATGTGAAAGCTGCAACCACTTAGGAAAACAGTCTTGAAATTTTATTTTTTCCATCTTTATTAAAATGTTATTGGCCCACAGCATTGAATAAGTTGAAGGTGACCATGTGGTACACTCATTTTCTACACACAAATCTGATACACTTATTTTCTACAAAATGACCACCAGTACAGCTTGCACTAACATCACTCTCTCATCACAGTATTGTCATTTCTTTTTCGGGAGGGGTGTTGTTCAAGAACAGCTGTCACACTGTTGATCTCTAAGGGAGAGGGGAAGCTGGGGTCTCCTATGCTGCCATCTGGGTGATGTCTTCAGAAAACCATGTATCTCCTTGGCTTAGAAATGCACTTCTAGAGACAGTCTTTCTCAAGTATACAAAGTGGCACATATCAGTACTTTCTTACAAAGTTAAAAGTATGACCAGACGATTACCAGACCATTAATTCCACATCCTCATTTTGCCCAAGAGATATGAACACATCCACCACAAAAGGACTAGGACACAAATGTTCACTGAAGCCTTATTCGTAATGGCCAAAAACCTGGCAAAACCTCAAATGTCTAACAGCTGAACAAAACAGGTGAACGAAAATACAAACCAAAGAATAGTACTTAGAGATAAAAAGGAAAAAACTACTGAAGCAACATGAGTTAAACTCCTACAGGGTATGCTGTGCAAACAAGAAACTGAAAAGAATAGTACATATTATGTAATTCCACTTACATGACAATTTTATACTATGAATAAATGCAGTTGGGCTTCCCTGGTGGCTCAGTGGTAAAGAACCCGCCTGATAATGCAGGAGACATGGATTTGATCCCTGGGTTGGAAAGATCCCCTGGAGAAGGGAATGGCTACCCACTCCAGTATTCTTGCCTGGAGAGTCCCATGGACAAAGGAGCCTGGTGGGCTACAGTCCATGGGGTTGCAAAGAGTCAGACAAGACCGAGCTACTAATCAACAACAAATGTAGTTACATCTCAATACAAGAGACCTTTGAAACACTTAGAACAATACGATCACAGGAAATAATAGTAAAAAATACAAAAAAGTGATAGGCAATTATAAACATGAAGGCTAGTATTTTATTGAATGAGATGGATCAGAGCATAATTTCCCTGTGCTAATTCACTTAAGATAAACATGTATACTGCTAAACACTCGTTGGTTGTGTGGCTAACATAGAGTCTTGATCTTTGCTACTGGAAGGTTGAATCACTAAACATTTCCAGAGATGAAGTAAATGAGGAATCTCCTTCACAAGAGAAGATAATTATGATCAGATTAATAACATAAGCTTATATATTAATTGAATACTATACACTGTATTGGCAAGAAATTTTATAAGTTTCACTCATGGGTTTAACCCAACGTATCTTAAAATGATATAACCATTAAAAACTCCAGAGTTTTGCTATTTCCTTGTGTCTGATAAGTATCAGGAATAACAGAAGAACGTGTCCACTGTAAACTCATAGGTAGAAATATCACATTTAGTTTCAGTAGATATCCAGATGTTCCTCTGGTTGGGTCTCCAAAAGAACCCAATCTGAAAATAGTGAAAGATTAGAGACATTATGTTATTAGTAAAAAGTTATCATTACTCCTTCTGTCACCTTGCCTTATCTTATGTATGTTTTTGGGTTTTTTTCCATTTATTTTTATTAGTTGGAGGCTAATTACTTTACAATACTGTAGTGGTTTTTGTCATACATTGACATGAATCAGCCATGGATTTACATGTATTCCCCATCCTGATCCCCCCTCCCACCTCCCTCTCCAGCTGATCCCTCTGGGTCTTCCCAGTGCACCAGCCCTGAGCACTTGTCTCATGCATCCAACCTGGGCTGGTGATCTGTTTCTCCCTAGATAATATACATGTTCGATGCTGTTCTCGCGAAACATCCCACCCTCGCGTTCTCCCACACAGTTCAAAAGTCTGTTCTGTGCATCTGTGTCTCTTTTTCTGTTTTGCATATAGGGTTACCGTTACCATCTTTCTAAATTCCATATATATACATTAGTATACTGCATTGGTCTTTATCTTTCTGGCTTACTTCACTCTGTATAATGGGCTCCAGTTTCATCCATCTCATTAGAACTGATTCAAATGAATTCTTTTTAATGGCTGAGTAATATTCCATGGTGTATATGTACCACAGCTTCCT